AGGACAGAGTAGAACTTCCCGATAGGGTTTCCAAGGCTATAATCTTTACAGAAGCCGACTGTCACAGCTTTCTCCCACAGAGTGACTGGTAGGTTTGAACTGTTGGCCTTTTGGTTAGCAGCCGAGTGCTTAACCACTGTGCCACTAGAGCTCATCAAAGTTAAATAGTCATGAAGACCAGCATGAAACTGTATTGTAGGTTTTACCTATCATTATCAGAACTATCCAAATTAGTCTAATATTATTGATGGTAACTACTAAAGAAAAAACAAAAACAAAAAAACCAAACTCGCTGCCGTTGAGTTGATTCTGACTCATAGCGATCCTATAGGATAGAGCAGAACTGCCCCAGAAGGTTTCCAAAGAGCGTCCGGTGGATTCGAAATGCCAACCTTTCAGTTAGCAGCCAAGCTCTTAACCACTGTGCCACCAGGGCTCCAACTACTAAAGAAAGATTTCAATACATCTACAAAGTACATGTGGCTGGGCTGGAAACTATTAACTGACCTAATAATTTGATTTATATATGGTTGCTGTGAGTCGGAATGGACTCAATGACAATGGGTTTGGTTTCCGGTTTTTTACCTTCGATTTGGAATTTTAAAAATACAAAGAACATGAGAATCAACATGCTATACAGGGCAAGTTAATACCTATAGAAAACAAGCAGTCAGCAGCTGGAAGATTAGTCAAACTATCAACTATAAACTGTAACTAGATTTTCAATTACCTTATTTCTTCATATTTCACTAATTTCTAGCTGCTAGGCTATAGTCATAACATAATCCAGCTAGATTCTTTAGCTTTTCAGGTATAAATATAATCATTTTTTAACAAATCAGAAACCCTCAAATAGTATTTTTACCTAAAGTTTTTAGTTTTTTCACTCATTTTAATTTTACCCCTTTGTATATAGTAAAATGAGTAATACTACTGTTTTAAATAATACCTCATATTGATTTTTTATTCTATGCCAGTAACTGTCTCATTTACTCTTCACAATCGAGGAAACTAAAGAAAAGGTCAGATGGAGTTTTTCTCCATTAATAATTATAGGTAAGCCTAGCGTACTTACCATGCTGCTGGGCACCGTTCCAAAGCTTCACATTTATGAAGTCAGGTAACGCTCACAATAACCTTGTGAGACTGGGACTATTATTATTCTCATTTTACAGAAAAAGAAACAGAGGCACAGAGCGGTGAAGGGTCTTGCCCAGCGAGGTACTGGCAGAGCCTTGATTCAAATGCCAGCAGGCAGGTCCACAGTCTCTGCGCTCACCACTGTGTGTGCTATCTCTCAGTTGTTTGTTTCATCACTAAACACGACCAAAATCTTAAACATTAATGTCTTTCTGCATTCTAACCACTTTTACAAAGTTGGGGAAAATATTTTTACTATACTTACATTTTTAAAAAAGTGATGGAGACTAAATTTTGCACAGCAGTAAATTAATTTTTGGAATTATTACTAATAGAATGGATCCCCTAGCATCTTCCATTTCCACTATCTGTAACTTTTGAATGCTTCTCATCTCTTTTATAGAACTTACCAATAGTAAGGTCATGCACTGGCTGAAACCTCTTGTCTGTAAACTGTAGCAATAAGCACGATTTACCAACACCTGAAAGTTAAAAAAACAACAACAATTAAGATACAAAACTCACAGGAATTAAGAAACAAAAGAACATGGAAAGGGGGCAACTCGGGGCTCCAGTCCTTCTGCAGTCCCAAGTCTCACACTTTGGTCTCAGCGCTCACTGAAGAATCGATCGTGATGTCTCTGTACTCTCATCTCTTGGAAAATAAGAAGGGGCAAAAAGGACTGATGATTTAGGTGGAAGGTGTAAACCAATCCAAAACACCCTTTTTCATATTCCTTCAACATCTTTTCTCATTCATTCAACACTTCAATTTGAAAGATAAATGTGGCAGCTAAACTAGAAAACAACTAACTAGGTTCTCCAAGCCGCCTCTACTATAGTACTCATGCAGGAAGTGCGAACGCACTTTTTAACTCTTGCAATTGTTTGTGTGTGTAATAGTGAAAATATTTAAAAGCACAGTAATATACTCTTTTTATACTTTATCATACTCCCCTACAAATAAAAAAACAGATAAGCAGGTAAAGAAATAAGCTAACAATAAACGTTTGTGAGCTACTTTTCCAGAAGTTGCTTGCTGTATCCACATTCCTACACTCAAAGGAATTTTTCTATATTCATCCTACTTACCCTCTAAGGAGCACTGGATATTGAACATCACACCTCCTTCCTACTCACTCTCAGGCCCTTTAAGAAACATTGCCTCATCTTCACACAAGACGAGACTTAGTGTGCCTAACTCACAGCATCCCACACTTCTACATAAAACTCAAGGTAGTCATCACTCATTCATCTATTCACTCAAAAAGTCTTTATTGAATGCTTACTATGCACTGCACTAGGGATTTGGAGATACAGAAATGGCGGAAAACCGATATGGCTCCTGCCATTGGAACTTACAGTCTAGTACAGGTGGAAAAATTAAATTGAACACCCATTTAATATATATGAACTGTAATTTGAAATAATTGTTAAAAATACGATTTGAAAGAAAATAATAAAGTGCTATGAGAAAGAATGACAAAAGAGACTTAATTTAGGCTACAGGGTTGGAGAAGGTCTTTCTGAAGCTAAGTGACTCAAAGTCTTGCAGATTATAAACTCAATGAGACAAGGGACTATGACTATTTTGTCACTTGCTGTCTCTCTCATAGCATAGAATAGGCACTTAATAATTTTGCTGAATGACTGGCCCCAGTGTCAAGTTACAAACATTGTCGAAACATCAAATAACACATCAAAGCTGTGTTCTGTAAATACATAGGCATTTTTTACGAAATGCTTTATTTGTTAAGTTTTACGACTCTAATTAACTAAAAATAAGCTGAAATTTCAAAACCTTTGGACTTAAAGAGTGTTTTCTTCTATTTCTGTTATCCATTATTTCTCTTTTACATTACAAAAGGCTCAATTTTATCAGATTTCTAACTCCTATGAACAGTCCTTCAGATCTAGAAGACAAAAGGGCAGTTTTTTAAGTCAAAATAGTTGATTATCAAGTGTATAAAAGGAATCTGCCAAAATAGTTGGTTATCAAGTGTATAAAAGGAATCTGCTCTATGTTCAAAACATAGGATGAAAGGAAAATTATTTAAAAGGTGTGGAAGTACAAAATACATGAAAAATTGAAATACGAATGTTCAGTTCTACTTTTAACATCCAAAATTTTGCCATATGGAATAGAAAATAATTCCATTTACAACAGCATCCAAAAGAATAAAATATCTAGGGAATAAATTTAACCACAGAGGTGAAAGACTTGCACGCTGAAAATTACAAACGCCCACTGACGGAAATTAAATAAATTAAAGACCTAAATAAATGAGAAGGCATCCTGGGTTCATACATTAGAAGACTTAATATTTTTAAGATGTAAATACTACCCAAAGTAACCTACAGATTCAACACAATCTCTATCAATATTCCAAGAGATCTTTTTCAAGAAATGGAAAAGTCAATCCTCAAATTCGTATGAATTGTTAAGAGGTCCCAAATAACCAAAACAATCATGAAAAAGAATAAAGTAGGAGGACTCACACTTCCTGATTTCAAAATGCACTATAAAGCTACAGTAATCAAAACAGTGTGGAACTAATATAAGGATGGACATATAGATCAATGGAATAGAACTGGGAGCCCAGAAATAAAGCTACACATCTACAGCCAACTGATTTTTGACAAGGATGCAAAGTCTATTCAATGAGGAAAGAACAGCCTCTTTAACAAACGGTACTGGGACAACTGAATTTCCACATGCAAAAGAATGAAGCTGGACCCAAAACCATAAAACTCCTAGAAGAAAACACGGGTAAATTTTCAGGACCTTGTATTTGGCAGTAAACTCTTAGAAATGACACCAAAAACACCACCAACAAAAGAAAAAAATAGATAAATTGGACTTCTTCAAAATTTAAAATGTTAGTGCATCAAAAGACATTACCAATAAAGTAAAAAGACAACCTACAGAACAGGAGGAAATATCTGGAAACCATATATCAAATAAGGGTTTAATATCCAGAATATACAAAGAACTACAATTCAACAAATAAAAAGTCAAACAACCCAATCAAAAAATGAGCAAAGGACTTGAGACATTTCTTCAAACAAGATACACAATGACCAACGAGCACATGAACAGACTGCAAGACTATTAATCATTAGGGAAATACAAATCAAAACCATAATGAGATACTCCCTTACACCCACTAAGATGGTCATTATCAAAAGAAGGGAAAATAACAAGTGTTGGGAGGATGTGGAAAAACTGGAATCCTTATGCACTGCTGGTGGGAATGTAAAATGGTGCACCTGCTGTAGAAACAGTTCGGTGGTTCCTCAAAAAGTTAAGCATAAAATACCACATGACCCAGCAATTCCACTCCTAGACTAAAGGCAGGGACTCAGATACTTATACAACAATGTTCATTGCAGCACTAGTCACAACAGTCAACAGGTAAAAAACCACCCAGGTATTCATCAACAGATGAACAGATAACCCAAAGGGAGTGTGTGTGTGTGTGTGTGTGTGTATTGTCAATTATTCAGCCATAAAAAGGAATGAAGTTCTGATACATGGTACAACATGGATGAACACTGAAAACATTATGCTACATGAAAGAAGCTAGACACAAAAGGACAAATATCATATGATTCCACTTACATGAAATATCTAGAATAGGCAAATTCATAGAGACAGAAAGTAGATTAGAGGTTACTAGGAACTTAGGGTCACTATGAGTCGGAATTGAGTAGATGGCAACAGATTTTTTTTTTGAGGGACTGAGGTGAGGGGGGAATAGGGAGTTACTGCTTAATGGGTACGGAGTTGATGTTTGGAGTGATGAAAAAGTTTTCACAATAGTTTGTCATAATGGTTGGACAAGTATCGTGAATATAATTAATGTCACTATATTATACATAAAAAACTTAAAATGGCAAATGTTTTGTTATATATATGTTCTACCACAATAAAAACAAAAAACCTTTGTTCAGAACCTTTTTTTTTCCAAAGCTAAACAGTATTAAAATAAACTTTATACATAATAAAGTTTAACTTACAATTACAACTATACCCTGAAACAAAGAATGAATCAAACACTGATCACGTTAGAGGTAGAAACCCCTACGCATACTTCAGTAGGATACCCTTTAGGTAAATAGTAGGCTGCCAAAGGCCTTGCATGGACTTCAAGCAGTGCTCCAACATTTTCACATACCTGATGATATTCTATGTATTCTTTTGAATTTGCAAATGATTCTTCTTTTATTTTCATAGAGAATGAGAGTCAAACATGTTGATCTGACAGAAGGGGAGATATTCAGAAAGGATGACTGAAAGAGGAATAGTTTTTTAAGTGGCCAGTGAATATTTTGATGTTGTTATGACTATATTCTCAGGAACTCTGAATTTTTATTATGATCTGCAACAACAGATAAAACTTAACATAGAGCTTATCTTCTGCCAGACACTGTCTAAGCACTTCACATATGTCAACTCATTTAATGCTGTGGCTATGTTCTCTGAGTCTGAAGCCACACTCCCTGGGTTCCAATCCCAGCTCTGCCAACTACTATCCACAGAACCTCAAGTGATTTATGCTCTCAGTGCCTTAGCTTCCTAATCTGTGAAAAGGAGGATAATAATTGTAATACCTATTTCACAGGCTTATTGGGAGTATTAGTTAATTCATTTAAGTGCTTAAAACAGTGTCTGGCACATGGTGAAGTTTCAATAAAGAATTCAAGAAATGTTTGTTGCTACTATTAATATTACTACTGCTTATTACTATGTCTGCTTACACTTTAACCTTCCTGAAAGGAAAATAAACGTTTTATTCATTTTCACTGTTTACGGACGCATCTCCAATGCTTATTAAAATCCAATCATTCTAAAAAATTTTATTGAGTGTCTACTATGTTTTAAGGCTAAGCAGTAGACAAGATAAAGACTCTTGCTCTTGTAGAGATTTATATTCTAGTTGAGAGGTAACAAACTTTTTTTTTAAGTATGTATATATGCAGGTGTGGCTGTATATGTGTGCATACAGAGAGACAGACAGACGGGGAGGCAGGCAAAGACAGTGTGTTAGTTGCAAAGTGTTAAGTGCTATGGTAAAGAGAAAAAGTGGAGAAGGGTAAAAGACTCTGGACCTAGAACACAGGGTTGGGGGGCTGGCATTAAGGAGGTCTCTCAGTGAGAAGGTGAGATCTGAAATAAGATATGCAGATACATAACTGAGAGAAGAGTATTCCAGTCTGAGGAAACAACTATAAGAAAAGCCGTAAGGTGGGATGTGTTGGGGAAAGAACGATGAAGCCTATGTAGACAAAGCACAGAAGGCAGGGAAGAGTCATGCCCCTAGAAGCTGAAGTTATAGGAATTACGGGGGCCAAGATACACAGGCCCCAGAGGACTTTGTCAGTTTACTTATGATAAAATGGGGGTCCACTGGAGGGTTTTGAGCAGAGGAATAAATACAATTTTACTTAAATTCTAAAAGGATCACTCTGGTTGGTACAA